AGTTGATATTCCTAGGGCCCAGAATGAGGAAAGAGTGCTTGGAAAATTCGATACTCACAGGACAGATTGAAGGCAAGATGGACACATGCGGATATATATAACTAGCAGCATGGCCCGGTGTTGCCCGTGCTTGATTCAAAAATTGTACGACTCATACAGCAATCGCTATCATTTGACTTAAAATATTTTTGCCCTTCCTTGCCTTTAAAGGAGTGCCCTTTTCCGTGTTGATGTTGCTACATGCCTTACTTTTTGCCTATCTCACACTGCGAATTTTGTCTAAGCTCTATACTAAACATTAAATCTTTTACGGAAAAAGAACTAAACAAAATGAACACAAAACGATCAGCTTTAAAAAAAAAGGACTCGTAACTGGAAAAACCGAATGAAAAAAGAATGTTAACAACAAATACTTTTTCACACCTAACCCAGTTCTGCGGAATCAGAATCAACGTTGAGTTTAAGCAAGCGAATGAGCCAATTGGAGTAAAGTGCCATGCAGATTTAAATTTTTCCCACTTGTGATGAATGCAGCTATCGATTTTTTTGCATGCTAGCATGCTAGTTAACATTCGTGTCAGTCAGCTGTTGGCTCTCACGCTGACCAATAGAATCTTCCTGCCGATTCGTGGTAGCCGGCTATAGGCTCTCAATCTGGCCGGTACAAAATGGCCGCAAACTACATGAAAACTTCCGTAGAAGCATGAAAAAATCGATTATTTCCACTATCGATGGGAGTTGGGAAATGCAATGTCGGTCTTGGTCTTCCCGCTAACTTGCAGCATGTGCATATAAAATTTGGTGCAAATCCGTCGAAAATTGCAGCCGTGCATTCGTTACACATACCCAAACACATCCTGCCTTTTATAGATAGAGATAATAATAATAATAATAATAATAATAATAATAATAATAACATCAACAACAATGGGATCTCCCGTCGTTTTCGGCGTATGGGGAAGCAGAAACTCAGCTTTTAAAACCAAACAGCCAGAGGCGCTAACTTCTTGATGTTATTGGAATGGGTAGGCGACCAAAGTGTGTGGCAAGGTAAAATGAAGAC